CGATAATTGTGACATATTCATTGAGTTACCGGAGATCAAACTGTATTAACAGTAGCATCGGATAAGGTTTTTTGGAGACTAGAAGATCGTTAGAAGAGGATTATGACCTCAAAAAGTTGCGAAGTGTAACATTGATGAGCTCAGACTCCGATGAAAAATTTGTCCTCAGAAAACTGCCATTAATGTTTAATGTTATGATATAGGTAAGACATTTCAATCACGAACTTCCAACTTTTGTACATTATTTCAAATCATATTTTTTTATCAAAGTTATTATAACAAAGCGCGCGTTGAAAGTCCTACTAAATCCTAACGAGCCATCATGTTTTCTCGAAATAGGCATGGCCGAGCATACATAACACGAGGTTTGCAATTCAACTCAGCAGGTACCGTCTACCCTATCCGAGCGGTTTCAAAACTCTCAAGATTCACTTTTAGTTCCATTCCGATTAAGACACAATTTTTGAAGCTCAAGATGAATAGTAAATATGCTATTTAATACTTACTAAAAAAGAAAAAAACCTTGAGCTCTGTCAATCCACGAAAATACCTTTGGGGTCAACGGTTTTTTTCATTCCAAAACGGTGTTAGAATTATTGCTATCAAGAAGGAAACTGAGCTTTCTGACTTCAAGTGAGGCTTTGAGACTTTTGAAACTCTTCTTTAGCACATTAAGTATTGTTTGAGTTGACAATGACCAAAACTGTTTTTGAATTACAGAAATCAAACAGTTTTCAGAATTTCAAATTTTAAACACAAAGCCACACATTCTGGTTATGAATTCTAGTAAAAAAAACCATTCCAGCATGCTGAAGCAATCACGCGGGTGTCGTAAATGCAGGGAATTCGTTCGTTTTCCGCTTCTAAGCAGAAAATTCAGCACTTCTTTGAATTAAGCTTTGGCCTCTAAATATTTATTGATCGTTTTCGCCTTGTCTTTTATCGATAGTTTTCTGGTATTAAGCGATTACCGTGAATACCCGACTCAATTCTGCTAACAATTTATCTTCGTGCACAAGTTGTATCCGCTATGTTATAAAATAATTGGTTCGTGCTCTTAGCGAGTACATATCGTGTTATGGATCCACAAAGAAAGTTCAGAGAACACTCGAGAAGCTAAAATTGCCATTGGCTTTACCTCAAGCAACTCATTTCTTTCATGCTCTGCAAACTTCGTTTGTGCATCCCTTTCAATCCATTTTCACGCGCTAAGCACAAACTATGCTTAATTTTACATTGCGATTTATATTTTGTTTTGTTCTGTTTTGTTTTTCCATCTTT